AAAAAAAAAAAAAAAAAAAAAAAAAAAAAAAAAAATTCTTGGTTCTAATCCTAGGTGTACCAGTTACTGGCTGGAAAAATAGCATATGATTTTTAAAACTCTGAATATAAATTTATCTATAAAGTGAAGGTAAAAATGTTTACTTTGTAGGGTTATTATGATTTGTGTACAGTGCCTAGCAAATTTTCCTGGCTTCTTGTAGGTATTCTGTAACTTTTAGTTCCTCCTTCTCTTTATCTTTTGTCTTCAGCATTTATTTCAGTGCCAACATATAGCAGGAATTCATGAATGTATGTTGGACTGAATATCAAACTATAATATACCATCATATAGGAACAATTTAATTAGCTGTATTATCTACGGATTTAGTAGAATATTGTTTGAATGTTAATTAGTTTTTAAAAAGAAGCTAAGTAGCTGTTACCACTTAAATGTTCTAAAGGTGTTCTTTTCTTTTAATCTATAATAAAATAAGAATCTCCTAGAAGGATAAATCAGATTGGTTCCATAAACCATATAATCATTTTGTGTTAATTTATAGGAGGACTTCCTTTAATTAATTACCTGTCTAAAGTTTTTCTTACTCTAAATCAATATGTACATATATAAAGAAGCATTATTCACCCTCTTGGTTTTGACACTTGGATTTTTAAGGAAAAGATCTATATATCCATGTGCATCTCCAAAGTGTTTGTGTAGGTACTTGTAATTACCTTGTGCATGTATTTCATCTGTTGTGTTATTTTAGTTATTCATTGTGGAGAATTTAGAGGTCTTTATACCATTCTCTACACAATGAATGCCCCAAAATTCACTGCTCTATCTTATATGACTGAGAGTATTCATTTAGCTCTGTTTAGAGATTGTTAGAAAGTCATAAGCAAGAACTGTTGAATTTTAAAATAGTATTTAGTAAACAGTGACAAATGTTGATATAAATATATTATAAAATCGTTATGCCTAAGAAAAATATTATTAATTAACTAATATTAAAAATTTTGGTAGCTAAATAACATTTCAGGAGACAGATCTATCACATTGATAATTAGCATAATATTTGAATTGCAAAAAACTCTTCAATTTAATGAGTACAGTCCTTTTTCACCTAAGTGTCCTATAAAAACCTAAAGGTTTCCAAGTCAAATGATTTCTGTTCAGAATTGTGTTTAGAAAATACTTCTCAGAGCCTGAAGTTTTAAATTACGTATCTTTGTAAAAGCTGATTTTTTAAAAAAGTTAACTCTCTTAAAAATTACGTCTTCAAGACTTAAAGGCATTGTTATTCTATTTTAACTTTGCTGATGAGTGGAAATCTTTTAATCAAGAATATTACGAGGGCCTTTGCATCTCTCATTGTCATTAACATTCTAAAAGGTGAATGCTTGTTAAGCTACATCTCAAACCCTTATATGTCCAAAAAAAAAAAAAGATGTTATTCTATAAGTAGGACCAAAAGATTGCCTCAACATAAACTTTCATTATTGTAATATTTTAGTTTTAATTTGAATGTGTGTTCTTTTGTTATTCACTAATGTTGTGTATGTTTTTCTCTAATAAAATTTTAAAAGTTTATTGAAGTATAATTGACATTTAACATGGTCATTTATTGAGGTATAATCTCTATTTAACATAATCTTTCCTCTAGCTGTTTGAACACATTGAATACACAATAACTTTTAATGTTCTTGTCGTCTAAATTTATTCTTTGTCATTCCTAGGTCTGTTTCTATTGATGAGAAGTCTTTATGTACAATAAATGACACATATTTAAAGGATACAATTTAAAACTATTGACATATGCAAACATCTGTAAAACCACCACCACAATTAATATAGAGAACATTTACATCACCCCTCAAAGTTTTCTTGTGCCTTTTTGGCTATTACAAACAAAGCTCAAGTTTTTAGTTATTATGAATAAAGCTGATAGAAACATTGAATGCGCTTAAAAAATTATCTTATTTTCAATTTACCACTTCTTGGCAATCATGGCTGTCAACTGTTACTATATAGTAAAGTTTTGCACACCTTCCCCAGCAACTTGGTAATTACGGAAGACTAGAAATATCCTTAACTTTAAACCCATTTCCTGAATTTTACCCATTTTACTTACTAGAAGTATAGATTATAGGAAAGAAAAGATTTCATTCCGAATTTTGAAATCTTAAAAGCATGGCCAGCATTTTCTTACCTTTTATGTTACCCCTTGTAGAGCTATTTTACCCTGACAGTGATCCTGCCAACTGGGCCAATTGTTGAGCTAGGGCTGGGTCTGGAGTTCCCAGATCCCTCAAGCCAGTTCCAGACTGGGTCACAAACCCTTCACCTGCCAGGCTGGGTCCCCAGACCCCTTACATGCAGGTCTGTGAGCTAGGTAACTGGCAAACAGGTCCTTGGAGCCGTAGGTTGGAAAGCATGGCCGTGCCAGGTGGACGCCCAAGGCAGATGCCTGCCTGCCTGCTTCACTAAACTCTCCCTCTTTTTCTCTCCCTCCCTCCCCCTCCCCGTCTCTCTCTCTCCCTTCCTCTCCCCACAAGTATAGCAACAAAACTAAAAAAACATTGGCACACATGTACACTAACTCCACACACACACACACCCCCCCCACACACAAAATTTGCCTACAAAGGATGTGCGAAAACCATATCCAGCTGGACCCGAGGCGAGTCCTCTCCCCACAAGTATAGCAACAAAACTAAAAAAACATTGGCACACATGTACACTAACTCCACACACACACACCCCCCCCACACACACAAAATTTGCCTACAAAGGATGTGCGAAAACCATATCCAGCTGGACCCGAGGCGAGGGCCCTGACCAAACTATTCTATTTTCCCAACACCCCTAAACAGAAATTTTAAATGTAACTGAATTGAAGCCTTTAGTCCTTAATTAAACCAAAGAGCTTATGCAAATACTGTCTTCACTGTAATGATGTTATGATGAATATTTCTCTAAAGAGAATAATTGTTTCCTAATGACCATACTTTATTTCCATAAGTAAATGTGGCAGTTGAAGTCTGTCATATTTATCAAATTTTCTCTAAACAAGGAAATATAGATCCCATAGTGCCATACTTTAAAAAAAAAATTGAGACAGAATCTAATTGTTTTTTATTGATAATTTTTTACTTTGCCCATTTTTATTATTTTTAAAAAATCTCATAACTTTATAGTGACTTTTAAAAGGAATGTTTTGTATGCAATAAAATTTCAACCTCTTGAAAAAATTTTCCAAGTCTCCCTTTTTAAAGAACAATACGCAAAGCTTAAAATTTGTTTCCCCTTTTCACTATTTCTTCTTGACAATATGTATGTGAACATATATGTACCATGATACATACATATATTTTTAAAAACCTTTCAAAGACAATAAATACTACCTGTTTGTGATATAATTGCAAGACATTTGCAGTTTATTAAGAATGGAGTTTTAATTATTACACAATTTTGTTTTTGAATGAAGTGGCATTTCTTTATCTTGATGTCAAATATGTAACTTGATACAAATACATGAGCAGTTCTGTCTACTTATGTCTTTTCTAAAAAGGCTAATCTTATTACAAAACTTTTAGTTTTTTTTTTTTTTGGCAGCTGGCCTGTGTGGGGATCTGAACCCTTGACCTTGGTGTTGCAGGGCCACGATCTAACCAACTGAACCAACTGGCACTTTTAATTCTTTACTGAGAACTTTTATTATAGACTGAGAAAAGGAGAATACAATCCTTTTCCCAGTAGAAACCTATATATTCAAGTATTTAGTACTTTTAAATACATCGTCTTCTTATGTTGGGTTATTAATTTAGAATTTTGGAAGTAATGTCTTTCAAATTTTTTATGCTTGTCATTACACTTTATAGCTAATTTGATTGAATGCCTTTTGATCTTCTTTCTGTTACTGTTACTATTTTCTCTTATTAAAATTATAATGAATTTTGTACAGTACCTGAATAGAAATCAATTTTGGTTTCTCTTGCTCCTTTATTTTATTTTTTTTATCAGTAGACAGTTTTTTTGCCAGACTAAAAGATAAACTAATATTATGATTTAGGCTAAATAAAAAGCTAATACCAGTTTTTTCTTTCAGATCTCTATAAAAATGGACTCCAAAGAGCTAACTTTGTACCGTTCATAGCTGTCCTGAAGGTAAGGAAAATCACTTATTTGTGTTCATTGACTAAGATCATATTGATTGATGATCAAGGGTTTCGATAGGATTGCCTTGGTCTTGTATTCCAGCAGAATTCATTTTGATATTTAGATAGTAATAGTCAAAGACATTAAAGGAGAAAAGAATCTTTTTTATGTAGTGTTCATCCATGTGTACATGGGAAAAATTACAGAATATAGTCTAAATTATTCTCTAACTGAAACATTTGGTAGTTTGCATTTTATAAATTTTAATTTCAGGTTTGGTCATAAATATTATAGTGGAATGTTTAAACTTATACATTTATTTTTGAAAAAACGTTTAATGTTCCCTGTTTCCTTCAGATTAATGGCTATTATTAATATGTTTTCCCAGCTATTAAAGTTGCTATTCTAGAATAGCATTATTACAAAAATATTCTAATATATTTAAATGTGATTGCCATCAAGTTATCATGAAATTATGTCAAGTTGAGGCACATAAATAGTTTAAATATTGTGTGTATCATCACTTCATCGAGTTTAAAATAGTCTTCATTACAATATGATTAAGAATAAAATAGCCTTTTTTACTGTTAATTTTAAGTAATTTTTTACGTGATTATTCAATAATTTCACATTCTACCAATATTTACTGAGAACCTACTATGCGCAAAGTGCTCCATTGGACATAACGGACAATATAATTATGAAATAGGCTGCTTCTTGCTTGTAAGTCATTTATAATCCAGTTGAGGATATAAAATGCATACAAATATCTGTAACAGAAAGCAAAATATGTAGTAAGTACCAAAAAGAAGCATAATTATGTGTCAAAACGTAATTCCCATAATTTTAGGTATATGTTTTTTCCCAGTCCATGTCATTGTATCTGAAAAAAGGATAATAAAATTGTACTTTTTTTTTTAATGGCTGGCTGGTACGGGGATCTGAACCCTTGACCTTGGTGTTGTAACACCTTTCTCTAGCCAACCGTGCTAATCGGCCAGCCCCTAACATTGTTTTTTTTTTAAAAACTAAAACCTCAAAAATTCTTATCAAGAAGGAGGAATGAAAAATATTTTGTTTAAATATTCTAAAGATACATTCAGATAATCTTTTTGACATATACTTTATTTGGAATTACTGTTGGTGCCAAACTTTACTCCCTATGCTATACTTAGGACAATTCAAACATCTGTTTCCTTGACCAATTTTGGGTTCCCAAGGATTTTAATTTCTCTGAGCTATTTATAGATCTAAGGAAAAGTACTCTTGGAAGACTGATGCCGTTAGTAATTTTTTTCCCTTTATATTCATGTTTTGCACTTGGGGAGAAGGTAGATTTGCAGTGTTTTCTTCACGCTAGGAATCCAAAATAATATGGTGTACACAGACACCAAAATATTAGCAGGAAAGTTAAGAAAAATAGGTGCTAAAAATAGTGTCTTTGTATAGCATAAAATACACAAAATATAAAAAGAGAAGACTCACAGAATGAAACAAGAGGCTCTCAGGGAACTTTGTAGCTGTACTTTTTTTGTTTTTTGGCCAGTAATGTGTCATATTTCAATATAAAACAGCACTATTAATAGGCAAATAAACTGACCAGATTAAACTTAATTTCCTTTCCCTTTCCCATCCTTAATTTTTTTTTTCTTTTTGAAGAGGAAGGAAAACCAGAGCTGAATAATCCACAATTTGAAATTGAACATGAACTGAAATTTCCGGGAAACTAAATACCATATTGCATGAGAAAAGATCTAAAATGTCTAATTTATTCAAAAGATTTTTCACCTATTACAAAACATCAGCCCAGTGAAATGAAAACTAGAGCTGGTTTCTCTGGAGCTTTTCTGTTTGGGCATATGAAGTTTCCCTTGTATGGAAAGGTTGTTTCATATGAAGTTAAATGACATTTTCCATATTCACTGATGCTAGTGTTACTCCTTCATTTTAGCCCAACTGAGAGAAATGTATAGCAGAAGTTAACCTTCAAATGAATAGAGAATCTTAGTTCAATAAAAAGAAATTGTAAACAAGATAGAAATTTATTGAGGAAAAAGTACATTGTAAAATCAATTTTTTCTTTATGTTCTCTATAATCCAATGATAACAAGTTTGTAGTTCATCACAGAAGCTTGTGATTTGTCGCTTAGGATATTGGAAAATAACAAAAACCATTTATAAGTTCTTAGTAAACAATATTTTCATGCGATAGTAGGAATGAGGAGGAGGACTAATATGCTATTAAAAGTCTTAGTTCCATCAACTGATGAATAAAAGAGATGTGGGATATCCATACAATGGAATATTATTCTGCTGTAAAAAGGAATTAAATTTTGATACATGCCATAATGAGGATAAACCTTGAAAACATTATGCTAAGTGAAATATGCCAGGCACAAAAGGACAAATATATGATTCCCTTTTGTGAGGTACCTAGAAAAAACGATTCACAGAGACAGCAAGTAGAACAAAGGTTGCCAGGGACTGAGAGGAAGGAGGAATGGATTGTTATTGTTTAATGGATACAGAGTTTGTGTTCGTGATAATGAAAAAGTCCTGGAAACGGATAGTGGTGATGGTTGCACAACATCGCAAAAGTACTTAATGCTATTGAACTGTACACTTAAAAATGGTGAAAATGGTAAATTTTATGTTATGTATATTTACCACAATTTTTTTAAAAAAGAAAGAAAAGAAAAGCCACAGGACTGGAGAGGATATAGAAAATACTCAGGAACATTTCCTCTAGATGGCCTTCCTAGACCAACCCCTTGTAACAAAGCAAAGCAAAGCAAATAAAAATAAGACAAAACAAACTCTTACATATAATCTCCACTGTCTTTTAAATAGGGAGGTTACTGTTATGCTCTTACTTACACTTCCTTTGAGTTTATTCTGCTGTTCTTTTTCTAATTTACTGAGATGAATTTTTCTCATTTCAACCTTCCTATGCTAAATGTATTTAAGGTTATATATTTCCTTATAAATGCTGCTTTAATTGCATCCATGAAATTTTGGTATTTGTTATTTTCATTATCATTAATTTCAAAATATTGTCTAATTTTCATTGTGATTTCTTTAGCCCATGGGCTGTCTAAAAGTTTCTTTCTTTATTTCCAAGCATATGTGGATTTTCTACTTACTCTTTTGTTTTCATTTTCTTCACAAATGCTTGATTGCATCGTGGTCAGAGAATATGCTCTGTGTGACTTGAGTCTTTCAAATCTGTTGAAACTTTTCTTATGGATCAACATGTAAACAATTTTTGTAAATATTCTCAGTTCTCTTTAAAATAGTGAACACTCTCTAATTGTTTTGAATTGTGAGAGATATATAACTATATAACTATATATATATGTGTGTGTGTGTGTATATATATATATATATATATATATATATATGGTTAAGTTTGTTAATTATGCTGTTCGAATCTTTATTCTTATATTTTTTCCCATCAGTTACTGAGAAACTTATGGAAAACATCTCCCACTGACTGTGAATTCATCTGTTCCTCCTGTAATTCTGTCATTTGCCTTATATATTTGGAGACTATGTTACAAGTTGCATAACAATTTTTTTTTTTTTTTGGATTTTCTGAAAATATCTTTATTTTACCTTCATTTTTGAGGAATAGATTTGCTGGATATAGAATTTTTGGTTGACAGTTTTTATTACCCTTTTAGTACTTTGGATATGTCTTTTTTTTTTTTTTTTTGCATAACAATTTAAAATGAGTAAATATTGCTTGTGAATGGAACTTTTAAAAATCATCAAGCAATAATGCTCCTTTATTTCAAGCATACTTGTAACTGTCTGTTGAAGCATTTTTATTATAACTGCTTTAAAATCTTTATCAGATAATTCTAACATCTCTGTTATTTTTACATTGTCATCTATTGATTGTCTTTTTGAATTTACTTTGGGATCTTCCTGGTTTTTGGTATGAGTGATTTTTGATTGAAACTTGGACATTTTCCTAATTAGTCATGAGACTTTGGATCTTATTTTTTAATACATTTTTCATTGCAGTAAAATATACATAACATAAAATTAGTGTTTTAACCAGTTGTAAGTGTTCAGTTCAATGGTATTAAGTACTTTCACATTGTTGTGTAATTACTACCATCCATCTCCAGAACTTTTTGTCTTACCAAACTGAAACTCTACAGTTATTAAATGATAAACACCCATTCTTCTCTCCCAGCTTCTGGTGACCACCAATCTAGTTTCTGCCTGTATGAATCTGTCCTTTTTTTGGTACCTCATGTATGTGAAATTATATATTTGTCCTTTTGTGTCTGGCTTATTTCACTTAGCATGATGTCTTCAGGGTTTACTCATGTTGTAGCCATGTGCCAGAATTCCATTCCTTTTTTATGACATAATAATGCTCCATTGTGTTTATATACCACATTTTGTTTATCCATTCATCTGTCAATGGACATTTGGGTTGTTTCCACCTTTCAGCTATTGTGAATAATGCAGCTGTGAACGTTTATGTACAAATATCTGTTTGAGACCCTGCTTTCAACTCTTTTGTGTATTTACCCAGAAGTGGAATTGCTGGATCATATGGTAATTATATGTTTAATTTTTGGAGGAACTGCCATACTGTTTCCCATAGTGGCTGCGCCATTTTATATTCCCACCAGCAATGCACAAGGGTTCCAGTTTTTTCACATTCTTGCTAACACT